TCCCCCCCCCCACCCCACTGCCCCGCTCCCCTGCCTTTGCCTATCCTCGCTCCATTATGACCTCTGCCTCGCTCTGTCGCAGGCGTTGACCGGTGCGCCGCTGGAGCCACCAACATCTGCGGCCCTGGAACCTGCGTGACCCTCCCGGACGGGTACAAATGCATCTGCAGCCCCGGCTACCAGCTGCACCCCAGCCAGGCCTACTGCACAGGTATGCACTAGGGCATCCTGGGCTCGCTCAGTGACTGGGGACAGAGCCAAGAGTCCAGGCAACGGAAGGCCCGAGCACTGCTGTGTGCTCCGAGGAGTTGAAAAAGAATGCTGTGGCTGTAGACAAAGCTCACCTGAACCTTGGGGAGACCAGTCTCCGAGAGCACCATCCGATGAGTCTCCAGGACTCCGGAAGAGTGCAAAGCTCCTCAGGGCTTCAACCCATTCCTGGAGCCCTCAGCTCTGAGATCAGCCCACGCCTCCAACTAGCCATCTTGCTGCCTACAGGGCAGACCAAGGCCTACCCTAGTTGGAAATGTCTCCACTGACCACCCCCTCCATATTTTTATTCAAGAGAGAAACGTCCACTGTGCCTTGAAGGAAAGGAAGTGGTCAGGAGGCCACTGGGGGAGGGGGACATGGGCAGGGAAGAAGAGCTGGGCCACTGGCCCAGGCCCTTGGTTCCGGAGTGGGCCCTAGGGGCAGACTTCGTGACCCCAGCCTTAGAGATTTTTCGTCTCCCTGGCCTCCTCTGTTCCCTCATCCCCTCCTTGACCCGCAGCAGCATCCCCTGTCCAGCTCCTAGCATGGGCAGATTGCTGGCAGGTGCCCAAAGAAAGGTCTCCTGACCTCCCTCCCCACCTTCCTCTGCTCAGATGACAACGAGTGTCTGAGGGACCCCTGCGCTGGAAGAGGGCGATGTGTCAACCGAGTGGGTTCCTATTCCTGCTTCTGCTACCCTGGCTACACGCTGGCCACCTCGGGGACAACGCAGGAATGTCAAGGTAAGCCAAGTCTGCCTCATCCCTGGGATAGGCACAGGACCCCCCTAGAGAGTACTGAGGTGGAAGAGGATCCAAGCATTCACAGCACCCAGCCACTGCTCTGCAGTGTGTGGAGCACGCGAGCTGTGAGAACAGAGACTCAGGGCAGTGACCTGGCCCTGGGAGGAAGCCGACCCCTACGCTGAGACCAGAAGGAGAGTTTCAGACCTGCAAGACTGCAACATTCAAAAAGGCTCCGAAGAGGTGTGGCTGGAGCTGAGAGTGTGAGGGGTCTGGGGACATGGCTGGAGATGAGGACTAAAAGCCTGGTCCCCAAATTCTGAGTGACTAGGAGCCGCTTTCATTTTGGGTAAGGAAGGAGACGCGTGAGGACACCGACTGGGACTCCTGGCAGACGGGGGAGCAGACTTTGCAAGAGGAGCGTGGGTCCTCAGCAGCTCAGAGACCTGGCAAGTCTTTGTGCTTCCCTGGGAAGGCCTGGCCCCCCGCACGAGGCCCCCGGGCAGAGAAGCTTCCAACACAAACCCTTGACTATCCAGCATTTGTACTGCAATGCAAAAACCCTCTGCATACATTTTTATGAATGAGCTCACAGAGAATATGATGAGGCACTTTCCAAGCAGGGCCTTAAGATGCATAACCCAGCTGGAACACTTCACGGGAGAACTCTTCCTGAGGCTCGCATTGCTGGTTCTGGCTGGGGCAGCCCAGCAGTCACCCACAGTCCCGCCCTGGAGGCCAGGAGGCTGTGTATCCAGACATTACCAGGGACCCGAGGTTCTAATCCCCCAGAGATCTCGTCTGCAGAGACCAAGCCCGTCCGGGTCTCCTCACCTGCTATGGGGGAGAGGGAGTAGGGGAGAACAACCAGCTAGCTTAATCAGGGTGGGGGATTGCACTTGACGAAGTGCATTGACGAAGCTCATCTTCCCAGCCCCAGTCGGTAGAAATCCTTACCCATTTTATAGTTAAGCAAAGTGAGGCTCAGGGAAGTGAATTGAAATGCCCAGGGACCTCGTACCGAGTTGTGGCAGAGCCAGAAACAGAATCAAAGTCATTCTGGTGTCAAAGCATGGTTTGCTTCCAAAAACATGCACAGCAAAGGAATGGAGAAAGCAGAGAGTGTTCCAGAGAAAGGGAATGAACCATTTCTACAGAGGGCAGAGTAGTGACCAAGCCTGGCAGGCTCTGGGAATAATGATAAATCCAGTGTGACTGGAGCATGTGGTATGTGGAGGAAGTGGCAGGAGCTGAGGCCAGTGTGTGAAGTCTTGAGTGCCAGGCTGAAGGGTTTGGACACCATCCCGCAGGCAGTGGGCAGCCAGTAGAGGTTTATAAGCAGAAGGTGGCGACGCACTCAGCTGGTCCTCAGGGAGGTGACTCAGCAGCACTGGCCGGTGCTGTAGGTCAGAGGCGCTGCTCTCTGTGGGTCCAGCCCAGGGCACCGGCCCCAGGAACAGGCAGTGGCTGCTGCCGGGAATGGCGTCACCGGTCCCGGATGTCTCCACCAGCCCCGGCAGCTGGGGAGGGAGGTCAAGGTCAGCTTCAGTGCTTCGCCCAGTGGAACCTGGCTGCCCCGTGATGGGACCTTATTCGGGATAACATCCCCTTTCTAAAGTCTGCCAGTCTTATGAAGCAGCATCTCATTATTTAATTATGTGTGAATTATTTCATTAATTTGTGTAACGAATTAATATAAATTATAAGTTTCCAGAAGTAAAATTAATGCAATTGATTATTATAAATTGTTTGCATGTTAAATATTTTTTTTATATTTTTAAGCTTACTTATTTATTTTGAGAGTGGGGGAAGTGCAGAGAGAAGAGAGAGAGGGAGTCCCAAGCAGGCTCCGCACTGCCAGCGTAGAGCCTGATGCAGGGCTCGAACTCACGAACCGTGAGATCATGACGTGGGCTCAGATCAAGAGTCAGACCCTCAACCAACTGAGATACCCAAGTATTTTTTTAAAACATTTACTTCGCAGGGTGCCTGGGTGGCTCATTCAGTTAAGCGTCCAACTTCAGCTCAGATCATGATTTCATGGTTCATGAACTGGAGCCCCACATCAGACTCTCTGCTGTCAGAACAGAGCCTGCTTCAGATACTCTGTCTCCTCTCTCTCTCTCTCTCTCTGCTGCTCCCCTGCTGGTTCTCTCTCTCTCAAAATAAATAAATAGACTTAAAAAAAAAAAAAAACCATTTACTTTACTAATAAATATGAGCATCTCTTCGTACATTAGCCTTGGGGTTTCCTTATCTGAAAATTGCTTGTTCCTATTTTTTTTTGCTCAGTTTTCCAGTGGCTGCTGGTTTTCCCTGGGGCTCTTTGGGAGTTTCTTGTATATTCCAGATACTTGCCTGGGTTTAGATATTGTAACTCTCTCATTTCATCCTCTGTCCGTTAACCTTATCCACATGTCCTTCTTTTTAACAGAAATCCTTAATTCTAACATATTGAAATTCACCTTTTTGCCTTATTTTTTATGCTTTTAGGGCTTTATTTAAAAGGCCACAAAGATATCCTTCCACGCTTTCTTTCGTAAAAGTTAGTTCACCTTTTACAGCATGTTTTAATCCATCTGGAGTCTGTCTGTACAGACGTTATGATCTGGTTTTGTTTTGGTTTTCTGTTTTTTGGGTTTTTTTTTTTTTTTTTTTTTTTTTTTTTTTTTTTTCGTTTCTATGCCTGTCGCTCTGCACAGAGCAAGTCCGCTTTCTCAGCCTCGTCTATCAGTCGCCCTGGCCCTGCCGGTCTGTGAGCTCTTCCTCAAGTACCCATGTGTGGTTCTGCCTCTGAGTTCTCTTTCCTCTTCCCCTGGGATCCCAGCTTCTCGAAGTGAGGATGAGTTATTTCAGAAATGCCCGGAGAGGTATTGCAATGCAGGCTCCAGTACTGCGAGGGCAGAATCCCTGGATGTGGGCCCGGGGGGTGTGACTTTTACACCTTCTGCCAATGACTCCGCTGGGCACTACAGTGGTACAAAGTACCACTCGGATGACAACACTGTCCATAAACAAATGATTAGTATTCCATTCATGCAACGAGAGCACTATTTGGGGTTCTGTGCTGGACATTCAGGACATTCAGATAATAAGAGCCGTTCTCAGCAGTCGGAGAGAAAAAAGCAAGTAAATGAACAGTCACTATAGTGGCTGAGTCCTAGGGGAACCCTGGGGAGGGACATATGGGGTGGAGGGGAGAGGTCAGCCTCACCTGAGAGACGAGTAGAAGGCAGCCAAGCTAGTGGGCAGGAAGCCACTCCGGACAAGCAAGCAGGACATGCCCAAGTTCAGGAGCAGGTCCTGTGTGGCTGAGGCTAGGAGGCAGGAACCAAGGTGGGAGAAGCAGACGGGGCCAGATCGTGAAAGATCTCACATGCCAGGCCTAGGAGATCAGATGTTATAGGGTAGGTTTAATGCTAGAATAATAATAGCTAACATTTCTTCGGTGCTTACCCTGTGCCAGGCAGGCACTGTGCTAGGCCCTTCACTTGGATTATCTCTTTTGATCTGCGTAGGGACCCCATGAAATGTTTGAACCAGTGCTGGGGGCCGGGGGGCAAAAGTAAATCCTCCATTGATTTGACTGTGGGGACAAGGAATGGGGAAGGGCCAGAGCAACCTTGAGTGGGTCAGTTGAACCAGTCCTTGAAATGGAGGTGGGACACTGCTGACCATTGAGGCAAAGAAAGATGCTCCAAGTGGAGACATTTGTATGAACAAAGGTTTGGTGGCTGACCAGTAGGGACCAGCAAACACAGCAAGGCTGGGGCCGAGCGGCAGAGGCCTTGTGAGCCATAATGAAGCATCAGGGAACCCCAGTAGGGATTTAAGCAGGGGAGTCGCATGAGCAGGGTCAGACTTTTGAGCCACTGTGGGGCACCAGTATGCTTTGGGACAGTGGAATAAACCACTTCAGTAGATTCACGGCTACCTAAGATGCTATCTTTCTGGCTGTTTAATCCCTAACCTTTGAGAAGGCCCTTAAGAACTCTAGGATCAGACCTCTGGAGGATGCATTGGGGTTCATGGGGGGGTGCTTTATTGGCCTCCTCGGATCACGCCATATGGATGGCCGCGTGACCTCAAGACCAGCCTTTGCCTCAGGGTGGGAAGACAGCTTTGAGGGTTCCCAAGGGCCTTGGGAGAAAGGAACTCAGGAATTTGCAGGGGCCTGAGCTAGATCAGTCTCAGAGCTGGCATAGGAGCCCCCCCACCAATCACAGCTGCAGCCAGGATGCCTTTTCCTGCCTGGGCCTCAGCACGGGCATCCTTGTCCTGGGCCTCTGAAGGGATGCCCCGGGACCCCTGCAGGGCTGACGCCAACCCAGGATTTGTTTCGTGTGTTCACAGACATAGACGAGTGTGAGCAGCCAGGGGTGTGCAGCGGGGGACAATGCACCAATACAGAGGGTTCGTACGACTGCCAGTGTGACCAGGGCTACATCATGGTCAGGAAGGGACACTGTCAAGGTAAGAAATGGGATGAGGGAGGGCAGGCGGCCGCCCTACCCATCTCTTGGCCCCTCCCCAGGCGCTGGCTACCCCCACCTCCCCTTCCAGCTTCTCTCCGACTGGGCCCCTTGATGCTGAGCCCACTCTAATGGACAGAGATCTGTCTGGGAATTCTTGAGGCCTTCCATCCCCTTCAATGATATTTTGGCATCCTGTCTGCCCCCCAAAGCAGGGGAGCACAGCAACTTTATACACTCGAGACCCCGGGAACATCCCTCCGTACACCTCTTCCCCTGGCCTTGAGTCACACTGCTCTCCTATATGACGGAGGAGAAGCCGGTCTCTCTGGGAGGTGCTTGCGGCCTCAGCCATGACCGACTTGCTAAAGCTTGTTAGGCCATGAGCTCCTCAGGGCTGGACCATATCTTTAGATGACCCCTGTGCACACACCTGATAGATGTCCCGCATTGGACAAACGTTAGCAAATGCTAGCTGAATGAGTAAATGAATGAAGAATGATTGATGGAGCCCCAGTCCTTGCTCCCTTTCCCAGGCCCTGCCAAGAGGTGGCTGTGACATTGCCAATCAGTCTCCCCACAGACTGGCTTGGAGCTGCCACTATCACACCAGCTCCTGGCAACTCTCCCACTACCGCCTCCTGGCCAGGCTGGGGTGGCAAATGCTCGAAAGAGGCCTGGGTTGTGTGCGAAGAGTGGTGGAGACAGGAATGAATGAGGGTAAATCAAGGCTCTCTCTGGAAAGAAATCCTGTCCTGGATCTGAGGTTAGGACCAGACACCTCTCAGCCTCCAGGTTCTTCCTGGCCAGGACTTGCCTGATTGCACAGGGTCCTGGAGGTGAGGGATGGGCTTTTATGCCTTATGATGGGAGGGTGTGCCTTCCCAGTGCCATTAGCAAGGAAGCCAGGCCCGGGGTCCTAGAAGGTCTTAGCAAAGGGGAGACATGGCTGGGGGTGTAGGGCAGTCTGCCCCCCCCCAGGGTGTCACCTTCTCCTCTCAATGCCTCCCTCTTGGTGATTTCCCTTTCATACTCTGGACTACAAATGATCAAAGCCAGAATGGCCTCTCTTTGTCCTCATAAGCATGATGGAGGCACACAGCCTGGCATTTTCTAGGAGAATGGAGAGTTGATGAGGGCCTACTATGTGCCAGGAGGTGTCCTAGTACTTGACAGATTACCTCATTCAAGCATCACAACAATACATTTAAAAAATTTTTTTTAATGTTTTTTTTTTTTTTTTGTTTTGAGAGAAAGAGAGAAGGACAGAGTACAAGCAGGGGAGGGGCAGAGAGAGAGGGAGACACAGAATCTGAAGCAGGCTCCAGGCTCCGAGCTGTCAGCACAGAGCCCAACACAGGGCTCGAACCCATGAACCATGAGATCATGACCTGAGCTGAAGTCGGACATTTAACTGACTGAGCCGCCCAGGCGCCCCAGACAACATTACAGATGTGACATTAGACTTTATTAAAAAGAAAAGCAAACCCAAAGGAGATGAACCAAGAAAATACCAGGACATTAAAAAGATCAGATTTATACAAACCAGTCCATGTTAAGGGCATAGGCTCTGTAGAGACAGGCCTGGGTTTGACTCTTGTCTTGACATCTGAAAATGGAAACCATAATGCCCATCTCGGAGGTTCTTGTGAGGATCAAATAAGCTAACACGTACAACAAGACTTTCAGTGAATACGGGGGAGTGTTTCCATCTGAAAGCCCCGTTCTTTTTTCACCTCTAGACACCCCTCACACTGCAGTCCACGCCTCCAGATTGTCCCCTTCCCTTCCGGAAAAGTTCCAGAGGGAACTTTTTCCGGAGGAAAAGTTCCAGACACACACCTCAACTTGGAGGTCAGGCTGAGTTCCTGGCCCAGGCCAGACATTCAGTCTGCTGAAAGAAAGGCTGATGTAGCCTGCACACTTCTCCAGGTTTCCATCAGTAACCACAGACCCAGCCATCACCCTGGGAGCCCAGTCAATTTCCTCCCCCTCTTTCTTCTCACTCCAACTGAGAAACCACTCTCTCCACTTAAACTCAAAGTCTCTGGTGGAAGGCCTGTGTGCTCTGGGCAGCAGCCCATCCAAAGTCTCAATGGCATTTCCGTCATACCAGAAACTCTGGGTTCCCACAGAAAGGGGTTGGATCCCCTTGCAGACTGCCTGGGCTTTGCTGTGCCCCAACCACATCCCAGGTCTCCTGCGCTTCTGGCCCCTGACTGAGCACGCTCCCCCTCCCACCCTGTGCTCTCACAAGGAGCGGAGATGGGCAACCTCACATTTCCTCATGCAAAGAATAAAGCCCTGGTTAGGGAAGATCCAGGACCCCAACTTGTACAGACAAGTTGGCAAGCTGGTCCCTGGGGTGCCTGTTTCCCTGGGTCCCCTGGGGTCTCTTCAGAACCTCATACCAATAAGGTGTGACATTTTAGTCACGTGGTCTCATTCTTGCCCCCAACTACCAAGGTATTAGAACCCAGCAAAATATACGATAATTTTAGATTTAAATTCAAACCCTAGACTAGGGAGAAAAATCCAGCTCTAGTCCACATACCAAGGGATCGATGGAACAGCTTCAAGATATCTGGTGACATTAGAGCCTTTGCCCTTAACACGGACTGGTCAGAAGTGGAATCTACTTCATCCGGAATCTTTCTCTGGCTCCTTTTGATGGGCTTGGCAGATGGCTCTGTTACATGCACTCCCATTTGGGAGAGCCTTTCCTTGGCTCATGGGGTGACTAAGGGCCGCTTTGATCTTCTGCCTTCCCTCTCCCACTTGCTGACAGACCTCTCACATACAATAATCGTGGCTGGGGCTCTGATCTGAGGAAAGAAGCCAGCAGTGGTGTGCCGGGCTAGAGTATGTTATGCTACGTTAACAAGCGACCCCAGCCCTCATGACTTAGAACACAGCAAAGTTTGCATCTGATCAGTGCTACATGCTCATCGTGGGTCAGCTGGGGATCCTGCCTCATGTTTCTTCACTCTAGAACTAGCCTAAAGGGATAGCCAGCATCTTGAATGCGGCCAGTCTCCATGGAAGAAAGGAAGAGTTGCTCACAGTTATGCCTTGGTCCATAAATTATATGCGTCATAGCTCATCAGCCAGCACGAGTGCCCTGGTCTGACCCAAAGAACCGGGAGGCACGGGACGCCTGGGTGACCCAGTCAGTTAAGCATCTGACTCTTGATTTTGGCTCAGGTCATGATCTCACAGTCCGTGAGTTCAAGCCCCGTGTCAGGCTCTGCACTGACAGCACAGGGCCTGCTTGGGATTCTCTTTCTCTCCCTTTCTCTCTCTCTGCCCGTCTCCCACTTGCGTTGCATGCACACATACACTCTCTCTCTCTCTGTCTCAAAATAAATAAACTTGAGAGAGAGAGAGAGAGAGAACCAGGAAGCACAAGCCTACCTGGCCCAGCAAGGGGAAAGCTGGAATATTTAGTGAACAGCATCAATACCAGGAGTCTCCTAATGCCCAGTAGAGGACACTTTGTGCGACACCTCCACAGATATGCCCAGAACATTTGGGGCAGGACAGGCATCAGTGCTCTTTGCTCCTGGTAAATGTAATCTCCTTCTTACACTACCTGATCCCTGTAGGAGAGATGCAAAGGTTTCATTTTTTCTCAGTGTGGTCTTAGAAAAGGGTCCTCACCTCTGTCTCTTTATCTCCCGAAGCAATGATCACTTATCATTCCCAATGGCTTTGCCCTTCCTTCTTCTGGTACCTCAGCTAAGGCCGCAGGCCACGGAGCTGGCTGCTCTCTAATGAGCAGCCAAAGTTGGTGGTCCTAGATCCTTCAATCCCCCTCTTCTGTCTCATTCTCTTCAATTCTGTCTTTACAGAGATCCTTAGAATAGGTTAGCCCAGTGTCACCACAACCCAACCAAGAGCTGTTGGCTACCCTCTTTCTAGAGACGAACCTTATCTCATTGTCCCCAAGATTGCCTTGGGGGCCTGGGTATTTCCTTGCAGATACCCAGCTGAACAACCGCCTGCCCTCTGTATACCTTCCTCTTCTGGACCCTCAGGGTGAAGTTTTGGCCTTGAGAGGGCCCAGGTGCCCTGGGATAGAGGGCTTTGATGTGGCCCGACTTCTGCAGACCAAACAACGTCAGAGGAGACTTATTTTCACTCTCCGCTTCAGGGGCCATATCGTGTTCTGTAACAGCTGCTGGCTTTCGTCCCTTTGCAGAGAGCCTGCGTTCTGACCCTTGGCCCTGCCGCCTGCATTTCCTCCATGGGTGCTGAGCAGATCTTCCTCTTGGGCAGTAGGTCTTCTGCATCTGCATAAGCTGGTGGACTTCCTCCAGGAGAATGACAGTTCCCGATTTAGGAAGAGTAGATCCTCTTGTTTCCTCTGGAGCTCAGTCAATCTGTCTGTCACTAACAGTGGCTGGCAGCCTCACCCTTGAGCCCGAGGCACATACTGCCTTCCTGCAGTCCCAACCCAGAGTTCAGTCCCTGTGTTATGACCTCCCGAAGTCCGCCCAAGTCCCCTGTGTGCCTTGAATGAGGACTTCTGGGTACGTCAGGTCGTATCAGGAAGAACCCTGCCTGCAGCCCCCCGGGAGCAAGATCTCTGTCCTCCTCCTCGCTGCCCCAGTCTCATCCTTTCGGACTCTCTCCCGGATCTCACCAGAGTGGGCATTGGCAGCCCTACATGGTTCTCACCTGGAACAAAAGTCTCTCTGGCCAAGAAGCCTAGCCAGCCTCCACCCTTGACTCTGCATCAGCCTCAGGGCTGGTCTTGGTCACATCCGAGATTGGGGGTCCTCCTCGGTCCCCATTTCCTGCTGCAGGGGAGCCCATTTTGCCCTCATTGCCCAGCGACCTGTTCTGGGGTCTCCGGGACCTGCCATACCAAGCACGTACAGTCCCAGTAACGTAAAGGAACAGGATTCACCAAGGCAGATACGAAGGCCCTTCCCAACAGGCCAGCTCATGGAGTAGAGCTCTCCCACCCTCCCACAGCTGTGGTGACCATGGCCTCTTGCCCCACCCAGGGAGTCTCCCTTTCTAAAGTTCTTCTGTCTCTTTTGTCCAGGACAGTGGGTGGGAGGTGAAGCTGGGAACACCAGACAGGACTCACTTTTTCCTAGTTTCCATCTGTACAGAAACTGGCATCCCTCCCTCTCCCCCACCAAGGGCAGGGTCAAGGATTTGCTTCCTCTCAGACCTACCCATGTGCTGTGGTTCCCAGCGATGACCAAGGGTGGAGATGTTATTTTGCAGATATCAACGAATGCCGTCACCCTGGCACCTGCCCGGATGGGAGATGCGTCAACTCCCCCGGCTCCTACACTTGCCTAGCCTGCGAGGAGGGCTACAGGGGCCAGAGCGGGAGCTGTGTAGGTGAGGGCTGCTTGCCAAGGCAGTGAGAGGGCTGTTTGGCCTTGGGACCTCTGGTTGAGCCCACACACAGGGAGGGAAGGAGATGGGCAGGGGGAAGTGGCTTGGAGGCCATTGTCCTCCATGACCTGGCTGGGTTCCCACATGATGTTGGCCATGAGATGGGTGTGCTTCAATTACTGGTGTTCTGCCCTCTGAATCAGCTTGTGTGGGGGCCCCTTTGGTTCCTTGACCATATCCATCCAGGAGCTATAGCCCAAGGTCCCAGAAGCTTCTGGGGCTGGATCCTGCTCGGTAGAGTGAGTTGCCAAGAATCTTAGGAAGAGGGTGGCTCTGGTGGTGTGAGCTGGCAGCCGAGTCCTCCCGGGGAGGAGGGCCTTCTGCTTTTCTGCATCTCAACAGCAATGTCTAAACAGCAACACCTAACTCAACAGTGGGTGTGCTTCTCCCTCCAGAGGAGGCTGCGTGTCAGCTGTAGGAAGAGTGTTCTTTCCCCTCAGTCCCTGCAGGAAGAAAGGCCCAGGGTTCAGAAGGCCAGGAAGGACTGAATTGTGAATAGATGCTTTGAGGCTCTGGAGAGGGCAGGCATTTCCCAGGCCCTTGAGACTCCGGTCAGCCAGCCAGGCATAGATCGGCCTGTCTCTGCATTGCCCACTCACCTATTGAAGCTGGTTGTTGGGCTGGGAACATGGAATCATACCAGTTTGGTTGGCAAGTAGGAGGTCAGAAGGGTTCAGAGCCACTGTAAGGTGAGTCAAGGGTCTTGGACATTTCATTCCAGGTGTCCTCAGATGGGCCAAACCAGCCCCAGGGCTGGGGAACCTGGCCTCCTTTTCTAGGACACGCAAAGTGCTGTGTGTTACCAGATAGAGCTGCAGCGGGCCCAGGCGGGAAGGGCACCCTGCCCTGAACTAGGTGGGTGGGGCCAGGAGCAGGAACAACCTGATGGCCTTCCCAGGGTGGCCTGTGGCCCCTCAGAATGCTGATTCCCTGGCCTCGTAACTGACATGCTCTAAGCCTGACAATGGGGACCACATGAAGGAGAGGAGGCCAACCTGCCATCTTGGACTTCTCTTCCACAGATGTAAATGAATGTCTGACCCCTGGGGTCTGCGCCCATGGAAAGTGCATCAACCTGGAGGGCTCCTTTAGATGCTCTTGTGAGCCGGGCTATGAGGTCACCTCAGATGAGAAGGGCTGCCAAGGTACATAGTTGCTGAAGCACCCTTCCTCCATGCAAATCCACCCGCAGCTCCTGCCCTCTGCACACCCACTGCTGATCCAGCCGTCGTCCCACATCCATAATCATGCGGACCCAACCACACATCCTGCCAAGTCCCATCCTTCCCCCCGCCCACCGCCCACCTGTCAGTTCCGTCCGTCCTGCCATGTCTGTCCTGCAGAGGGTCCCACACAGAACCCAATGGCCCGTTTCAGATGTCGACGAGTGTGCCAGCCGGGCCTCGTGCCCCACGGGCCTCTGCCTCAACACTGAGGGCTCCTTCACCTGCTCCGCCTGCGAGAGTGGGTACTGGGTGAATGAAGACGGCACTGCCTGTGAAGGTAAACCCAGGGAGGGGCTGGCAGAGGGGGACCAGGAATATAGGCTTTCTTACCCCCCAAAGAACACTCCGTTTGTCCCCCAGCTTTGGGCTGATGCTCAGGGTCTCCAGGCTAGCCTAGAGGACCTTATCAATGGACTTGGCCCCAAGGGGAGCATCTATTGTCATCATCCCCAAGTTTGGAGGCGAGGATAGAAGGAAAAAAAGGGAGTCGCGGAGACAGGAGGGAAGCTGACGGTAGAGCTGCCCCCAGAGCGTTCTGGGGAGAGGGTGCCAGGGTTGCCCTATAGAAGGCCCCCAGCTTGGGCCTGCCTCTCCCCACGGGCCCCAAGACAGTCCTATAAGCTCCGAGAAGGAGGCCACGTGTGTGGGAAGCTTCCTGCCCTGACAGGTAGAGGGAGCTCTCCCGAGCCCACAGGGTGACTGGCTGGCTGTCTGCCCCAGACCTAGACGAGTGCGCCTTTCCGGGAGTCTGCCCCTCGGGAGTCTGCACCAACACCGCCGGCTCCTTCTCCTGCAGGGACTGTGAGGAGGGTTACCGGCCCAGCCCCCTGGGCCACACCTGCGAAGGTGAGAGCCCCCTTCCCCCGCCACCGCGAGGGAGGGGAGCACAGATGGGGCGCAGGAGACCAACCCACCACCCTTAGAGAAGGGAGTGACCAGACACGGCAGGGATTGCTTCCAGGCCGGGGGCCCTTCTGTCTACCTTGGACTGGCTAGCTGGGGACACCTATTCTCACCCCTCCCTCAACAGGAGTTGGAAAGGTGACTACACATCTGGGTTTAGGGGCCAATGAGCCACTGGATCACAAGCTTCAGGGGAGTCTGGTCCACGTGCAGCTTCGTGGGTTCTTTGTAAGGGTGGGGGCTGGGACCATATTTTGGGAAACATCGGCCTGTTCCAGGCAATCTGTAGGCCCGCTTAAAGAACCTAGTTCCTGTGACCTTCTTAGCTTCTCTGTATATTTCCTTCATTTATCTCTCATTTGTTTTCCCATCGCTTCTCAGAAAAGTCTAAGCCATCTCAGCCATGGTCAGGGCAGTGGGTTTGGCCACTGTAGGCCAAGGTCGCGGGGAGGGGCCAAGCATCCCCAGGGGCACTGTGTGGGCAGCTGGAGAGGCCCAGCCAAAGGCTGCTGGGCCAGGGCAACGATGGAGGGAGCTGCAGTGATACTGCTCCCCGAAGCCTCCCTCGCCAGCTGCTTTATAAGGCGATGAGGCCCCTGTGGGTCCAGACTCCTCAGGCAGGGGACTGGTCCTCTGGAGACCTCCCTGTTGGTTCCTGTCCTGGTGGGGGTGGTGCTGCCACGGGCTGCCTTCCCCCCTGTGTGACCCTGCAGATGTGGATGAGTGTAAAGACTTCCAGAGCAGCTGCCTGGGAGGCGAGTGCAAGAACACGGCTGGCTCCTATCAGTGCCTCTGTCCCACAGGCTTCCAGCTGGCCAATGGCACCACGTGTGAGGGTGAGTGGCTCCCTATCCCCAGCGGGAACCGTGGACGATGAGTGGGGCGGGGGAGGGGGCAACATGCCTGGGCGACACCGCTGCCTACCTTCTCCTTGCAGATGTGGACGAGTGCGTGGGAGAGGAGTACTGTGCACCCCGCGGCGAGTGCCTCAACAGCCACGGGTCCTTCTTCTGTCTCTGCGCACCGGGCTTCGCCAGCGCCGAGGGGGGCACCAGCTGCCAGGGTGAGAAGCCAGCTGGGCCATGTCTGCTTGCCAGCAGCAGGGGGCGCTGGAGGCTCTGTCTAGACTACTGAAATAAAGTGCTCCTGGCCCCACCCGGGGATGGGAGGCGGGAGGCTGAGTGTTGACAGGGAGACAGCTTTCAGGAAGGCACTCAACAGGGCCTCTCCATGGTATCTACGACAGGCATGTGCCCTTTGAATCCTTTGGGTGTCACCCTTCTGTCCTTGGTAGTGTCCCAGTTCTGGGGCTCCTCCCCCCAGCCTGGCCTCTGGCCTCTAGCTCCAGACTCTTCCTCAGATCTTCTAACCCTTTCCTAACCTGAGGCACTCTCTGGCTCTCCTGTGGACTACTTAGGGCCCCAGGGACCCATGGCTGGGCCTGCTGACAAATGTCTCTGTTCTAGATGTGGACGAATGTGCAGTCACAGACCGGTGTCTGGGAGGACACTGTGTCAACACCGAGGGCTCCTTCAACTGTCTGTGTGAAACCGGCTTCCAGCCCTCCCCAGAGAGCGGGGAGTGTGTGGGTAAGGTCGCCAGGGGGGAGTGGACAGGGCTCTGCCCCATGTCCGCCCACCTCCACCCCTGCCTGGTCCTCAGCTCCCTGGGACTAGGAACTGCAGCTTCCAGAAAGCAGAGCACTTTCCACAGATTAATCATCCAATGGAGAATGCATTTATTGACTGTCCGCTGACTCCGGACGTATCCAAGGGTGACAAGATAAAGACAATCAGGATCCTTGTGCTAGCAGAGCACACAATCCAGTTTTTAAAGCCAAACTGATTCAATAGACATTTATTAAACCCCTGCTAGGTTCAATGTCTTTTGCTAGGACAAAGTAGACAGTTATGGACAATCTTCAAATTGAGCAAGGGAGACAGATACGAAGACAATTTTCAGTAAATACGCTTTGGTGCAGACTTATATAAAAAGAAGCATAAAGTACTCTGCCGTAGGGAGAAGGGGGTGAGGGAAAAAATATGTCACAGAAGGCTAAGAGCTCAGTGCGTTCCTAAACAGCATATAGTTTTCTACCTAGACCCTCATCCTGCCGGGTCAGGAGAAATGATCCTGAACTTAATGTTTTGGGGGTGGGTTGAGCACAGTCATTTGCAGCGGATCAAGGACCCCAGAGGTTGTGGGGCATGACCTTGTAATGCCAAAACGGTGGGGCCAAAGCAGTGACCTGCCCACTTCCGCCCCCTCTCTTGGCTCTGGGGACAGATATTGACGAGTGTAAGGACCACGGCGACTCGGTATGTGGGGCCTGGAGGTGTGAGAACAGCCCTGGCTCCTACCGCTGTGTCCTAGCCTGCCAGCCTGGCTTCCACATGGCTCCGACTGGAGACTGCATTGGTGAGTAGGAATGGGGAGTCGGAGGCAGGAGGGCTGAGGACACCTATTTTCACGTATCCAGCTAGAAACTGCTTTCGCCTGAGGACATTGTGTTGGCAGCTGTTGGAAGCTTGCGTATTTTCCAAACAGCAGGGCTTACACAAAAATTTAAGAGGAACGTCAATGTTAGAGTGTTCTTGTCCTGTGTTTAGAAGTTACTTTTTACAGACATTGGTGTCAATAGTCCAAGTATTCCCAGCAAACAGAGCAAGAGTGCACCCTACACCTTAGTCCCCACTGTCCCACAGACATAGACGAGTGTGCCAACGACACCATGTGTGGGAGCCACGGCTTCTGCGACAACACTGACGGCTCCTTCCGCTGCCTCTGTGACCAGGGCTTCGAGACTTCGTCCTCCGGCTGGGAATGTGTTGGTGAGAAGCCTGCAGGCTAGCCAGGCTCCGGGCCCGGGAAGGGGAGGCCCTTGGGCCCATCTCCACAGATTTTGGCTGTCCTGGAGAGAGGCCCTAGGGCCCTCCTCCTGAAGGGCTCGAGGTCACACGCCTCCACAATATATTGGTCCTCATAGAGTGGGCAAGGGAGGAGGATTTCAGCTCTACCCTACAGCAGGCAGGGGGACCAGGTTGGCAGGAGAAACGTGGCCATGTTCTACCAGCAGGGGGAGCAAGCATATCAGCGAAGGCGCACCACCCTTCCCCAGAGACCTCTGGGTCTCGAGAGGCACATTTGGAGAACGTGCCCGGAGGGAGGAACCCTTCCTCTTTGTCCGTTTAGTGACCCTTTCCTGCCACCCTTCGCCTCTCTCCCTTCCCACGCCCTCTGTTCATCGGTCCCTCCTTCCTGCTAGCTCCCTTCTGCTCTTCTCCCAAGACCTAGTCTGTTTCTT